TCTTATCTCCAATTATCTACCAAAAAAGCAAGTAGAGCTATGGATCAAGTGGCAAAGCACTAGCCTTCAGCAAAAGTATCCCAGGAACAGTGCCCAGGCTATTAGGCCCCAGAACCAATACACACGTGCACACACACACACACACACACACACACACACACACACACACACAGAGATGACAGTGACTAAAGTACCCTGGCAGCAGAAGAAACTGAAAAGAGGGATTCATTTTAGGGCAAAGGTGTGTGTGAACTAGTGCTGAAGTCCGAACATTAGAGTTTGGGGGATCTGCTTTAGAGTAGTTGGTAGTTTCAGATGAAAATATGGAAGAATTAAGAAAATGGTTTGGTGTTTTGAGAGAACACCCACCAAGGCCTTTGTCCAGCAAGGCCAACATCACAACTCAAAACACATGTGCACCAACTTTCCAGAAGGTTCTCCACTGAGTCCCTGTATAAAACACAATGCATCATCTCACAGATGAACCTACCTCTCATCATCTAGGGCTTCCAAGCAAGACTGATGTGTCCCATTGTTGAGATTGGTCCCTGGGATTCTGAGCCAGCACAATAAAAGCTAAAGGAAGAGAAATGGGAAGGTTTCAGCAATCCATTTAAATATTTTTTAAAACAATCTTATCCTTGGGAGGTGAAGAAAAAGAGAATCACAGATCAAGACTAGCTCATTCCAACAGTTAGTGGGACCATATATCAAAAAAACAATCTGGCTATAATAGTGAATGCCTATAATCCCAGCTACATGATTGGTGAGCGTAGAAGGTCATAGGTCTAAGACTAGCCTAAGCAAAAGCAGAAGAGACTGTGTCTCAAAAATTAACTAAACCAAAAAAGGATAAGGGTATGGCTCAAGTGGTAGAGTACTTGCTTGGGAAGTGTGAGGCCTGGAGTTCAAACCTCAGTAAAGAAAAACAAAAGAGAAAGCAAAGATCATTTACGGGCTGGGAAGGTGGCTCAGTGGTAGAGCACTTGCCTTGCATGCCTGAGGCCCTGGGTTCGATTCCTCAGCACCACATAAGCAGAAAAAATTTAAAAAGCCGGAAGTGGCACTGTGGCTCAAGTGGTAGAGTGCTAGCCTTGAGCTGAAGAGCTGAGGGACAGTGCCCAGGCCCAGAGTTCAGGCCCCACGACCAGACCCCACCCCCACCCCCCCAAAAAAAGAAAGAAAAGATCATTTACCTTTTTAAAGACATCTAGCATACTAAAATACCAACTGATACTAGAACCTGGAAGCATAAGATCTAGCTAAGATTTGCGCAGTCTCCTGCCCAAAGAAACTAAGAGGTCAAAGATGTGCAACAATTATCTTTGGGTGCAAGGTATTGGGAAAGTGCATTACAGCAATGAACAACCAATATATCTTCCATATTGTAGTATTGATACTGTACAGACATACTATACATACAGCTACTGTAGTATAGGTACCTTAAGTGATAAAAGACCTCCTCTTTTAATTCCATATCAACCAAGATATAAAAGTAACTTTTTCTCATTTGTTTCCGAAATAAACACAATCAGATATGCCTGAAGTGACTTTCATTTTTCCTGAAGCTTTGTGAGGTATAGGAAATAGTCACAATATAGTGGATAAAGCTCTTCCATAGTCTTTCTCCTGTTGGCAGTCACCTTTATTATTTAGAAAGTATTATCTAGGCAATGCTGAATCTCTGGAAAATTTCTCCAAAGTAGATATACCCCCAAAGGAAGAATATTTACCTGTCAGGCCCTACTTCCTCATTCCCTGAGTTCCACAATTTTCAGAAGCTATAGAGTATTACAGATAGGATGAAAAACAAAACATTTCTGAGAAAATACTCCAAGAGATCTCAGCAATAAGGCCTCTATTCCCAAAGCTCTAGGGATTATCTTGTGGTTCCTAATTAGTTATATTCTAGTTATTCCCTTTCTAGCTAGATATTGAATTCATAATTTTGTTGTTGTTTTCTCAAAAAGATTCCTACAAATTTGTAAGCTTCAAACTGTACAAAACTCATCTATTCTAACTAGATATTTCAAATCATTTACTAAATTGACTCTACTGTCTGAGAACTTTATCAGCCTCTTGGATATTAATTTTTAACATATTTGTTTTTTTAACATATTTATATATAATTAATTTTCATGTACCTGCCCCATGTTGATCAAAGTCAATGCCCATGTCCACCTCATTTCTGTGTCCTTGGAGCTCATAACATTCCCAAATGTTCAATCATTATTTTATTTTGTTTTTGTAGAGGTGTTTCTTATCCCAATAGATTTCTTTTACAATCATAATTTTATTTTAACATGCATTGACCCTGAGTGCCAGTGGCTCATGTCTATAATCCTAGATACTGAGAGATTGAGATCTGAGGATTACTGTTCAAAGCCAGCCACAGCAGAAAAGTCTAGGAGATGCTTATGTCTAATTAACCAGTAAAAAAAACAAAAGTGGAGTTGTGGCTCAAGGAATAATCAATATCCTTGAGCAGAAAATGTTAAGGGAGCCGGGCGCCTGTGGCTCAGGCCTATAATCCTAGCTACTCAGGAGGCTGAGATCCAAGGATCATGGATCAAAGCCAGCCCAGGCAGGAAAGTCCGTGAGATTCTTATATCCAATAAACTACTAGAAAACAGGAAATAGCGCTCACGTGGTAGATTGCTTGCCTTGAGCTGAAGAGCTCAGGTGGCAGCCTGAGTCTGACCATAAGCTGAGGTAGAGTTTCTAGTTCAGTTTTATCCATAAGTATCAATAGTTACGTATAGCTAATATTTTATTGGCTATCTGCTTCCTATATCTATTTATCTAGTTTTTTCGCAGCTTATATTGGGGACGGGCATGTTTAGTTATCATTCCTATAACAAAATGATTCACAGAAATGTTCTGAAGTTTGCTTTGCAAGGCCAGAAAATTCTTTCTGTGAAAAGTCCAGATAAAATATTTGTACCAATGTGACCTGATTTTAGGGAAACAAATACAAAAATAAAAATAACAAAATCCTCCTGGATTAAGGAGTTCCAAGTCTAAGAGGTTATTTACAATAGCAGAATATAAGAAAAAGGTAGAAGAAAAAGGACACTGAGTCAGGTCAAAGGATATGAAGAAAAGGATGGTAGAACAGCTCAGAGCAGGCACAGGCAACAGAAAATTGGGAGAAATTAGAAGGAAGATAGAAGAATACTAGGGAGGTTTGCAGGATTATAAAATGAAAGGAAGCAGATGGAAGACTCTGGAGTCAGGCCTCTGAAGATAAAAAGGTAGAAACGAGGAGAGGAGACATCAAATAAAATGGAAGGAAAAGATAAAAATAAGAAGAAACGCCTATGGATTATATATTACCAAGGGTGGGTACGCAAATTTATTTGTTTTGTGAATGTATTCTGAGACTCATTTAGTTCTTTTACCATTTTAATTTAGAATTTCTTTAAATAGATCCAAGGCAGGATCATTAACTGGGAGTTTTTCTAAGTCAAAAACAAAACAAAATTACTGCAAATGAGTAGGAGTTATTATAACTTTAATCTGAAAGACCTGCGCCCTGTTCCCAAACCCTGACCCAACAGCCCATGAAACGTTTTAATGACAGGATTTCCAGAAAGGAAAAAAAAAAAAAATTGGCCTAAATACAATCACCAGGCAAACCAAAGTATGGGGGAAATCACAACACTGCTTTCAAATCCAAGTCTTTCTTTACAATATAAAATTATATGCCATGGCCATGGTTCAGATAACTATAAAAACAAGGGAACAACTTTACAAAACAGCACAGGAAATTTTAGAAAGAAGTGGAATGAGGGTAACAGTTACGAGAACCAAAATGAAGTTACTTTTGTCAAACCTGCACATCAATAAGCACACAGGCTAAAAACAAGAACTATCACAAAGGCCTCTGCTACAACTACGACCTGGCACAACCACCACAACCTTACACACAGTACTTCAAGGATATGTGTCCAACCACTGCCCATCCAGCCTTTAACTGATGCCACCTTTGTCATTGATGCCTATAGGGAATTACTGTCCTAAAAGAGCTATGTAAACCTCTTTATCTTGCCTATTGAAACTTTCCCTCCTCTAAGCTCTTTGAACATGCCCATCATTTCCACACATGGGATTGATGACATGGGAGTGTCATATCTTTCTCAAGGCAATGGGTCCTGTTTAATTCCAAATGGGTATCACTCTTGATTTTTTTTCATATAACTTTATTGTTATTAAGGTATTGTGCAGAGGGGTTACCATTTCATAAGTCAAGTATTGAGTACATTTCTTTTTGTGGGGTATTGTCACCCCTTCCTTTGCTTTCCCTCAGTTTCCCCCTCTCATCCCTGCCCACAAGTTACATAGGTCATTTTCCACATTGTGTATATTGAATAGCACAAATGCATTTATTCCCCCTTCTTCTCTCTCACTCTGTGTGCCCCTACTTTACACACCCTAAAACAAAAGCCCAGAGCAAAAATGAACACTACTACCACCAACCACAATAACAACTCCCCCCCAAAAAACATATTTCCATTTCCTGGAGTTTGTTTCAATAAACAGTATTTTAAAAGTTCAGAGAAGTCACACCTTTGTGCTCTTCCCCTAAGAGTATTCTCCTTCAGTCTGTTTGGGTATGAATGCCTACAGTCCTGTTTAAGTTATTATGTTCAGTTACATTTTAAATCTAGCTTCTACATATGAGAGAACACATGCCCCATTTCATTTCTCTGAGCTTGGCTTACCTGACTTAGCATGACTTGTTGTAGGCCCCACCCATTTCCCCGCAAATCACATACTCTTTCTAATAGATGAGTAAAATACTATTGTGTATATGATCCACTCATCTATTGTAGGGCACCTGGGATGTTTCCATAACTTGGTTATTGTGAATAGTGCAGCAATGAACATGGATATGCAGGTGTCTTTATGGATCCTGACTTGTAATGATCTGTGTAGATGCCCTAGAGTGTTAAGGGAAGTTCTATGTTTAGTTTTTTTTTTTTTTAAGAAACTCCAAAAACAATATTGAACACTTCATGAATTTGTGTGTCATCCTTACACAGGGCCATGCTAATCTTCTCGGTATCATTCCAATTCTAGTGTATGTGCTGCTGAAGTGAGCAATCCATTAGTCTTTAGAGACTATATTTATTAGATTGATGGTAGGGGGAAAAAAGACAAACTGAAGTTTGATTATATCTTCTTACAAAACTCATCAAGTTTCAAAAGTGTAAGAGATCTGAGCCCAGTATAACTTGGAGCCTTGGAGACTCATTTTAAACCATGGAAAAACACTATAGTCATTGAAGCATAATTGCATATCCCTAGCTACATATGCACTGCAAATGTGCAAAACTACCTTCAATAATCACTAAAATGGTCTAAGTTATAGAAACCCATTGACAATGACAATGACCAAGAGGTGTGGAGTTTATGGAAAACTAAGCATTAGCCTTAACAGCAAAGACTTCTTTTGTTTGATATCTGTGTGAAGTTCTGTGACTGGGAGATGTTTATGTTCAAATGAAAGGAACTGTAAACAAACCATCCTTTAGTAAACATTTCTCCAGAAAAAAAAAAAAAGAGTTAATTGTTTGAAATAGAAGAAGGCAGTGGTAAAATGAAGTTAATGCCTTTGGCTCATTATGTTATAAAAATTACCTGGATGTTCTTTAACACTGCTCTAAGAAATCAGTTAATCTGACTTACAAGATGCTATATAATTCTTACAAAGCCATCTGGGCAGTTGAATCTTTAGTAAGGTTGATTGGCTAAGGGGAACAGATACCTTCTAGACTGACAGCCATCTCAACAAATATAGAACAGTTGATTTAATTTAATTTAATTTAACCAATAGATTTATTTCTACTTTGCCTTCATCTAGAAAGGATTTGAGGATTTAGCTACCATAAAGATCTGAAGGTGCAGCTACTCAGCAAGCCTCAGATTAATATCTACAACATATAACATGTCCAGATAGTTTTCAATTATCAATACATTAATCTAAGCTTGGAAAGGGCTTTTAAACTGCAGTGAAATATCAACTAGCTTCAAGCCTCCAGTTTTAGAAAGCTATTTTGTTATTTGGAAGCCTGCACAATAAACCTATTATTTCAGAAAAGAAAGGCAACCTGCTGGTGTTGCTTTGTACATCTTATCACCTCATCATTCCTCAGCCTATTCAGATCCTGTGTGTATGTGTGTGTGTGTGTGTGTGTGTGTGTGTGTGTGTACACACGCATGTGCACACTTGAGTCCTATACTCAGTGCAGGATTTTTTTTTAAAAGACATTCATCAGTTAGCTACCTGAAAACAAAACAGAAAATCTACTATTACAATGAAGTTGAGTTTTATTCAGCATGCTTCAGATCTAATATTTAAGAAAATTTGAAGCAGACCGTCTTTGTGACAATTTCTTATACTCCATTGTTGTAATTACAGCCCATTTAACTGAGATTTTTCTGTAAAGTCTTGCAATGAGAAGGGAGTACAACTTTAAAATGGTATGCCTCAAGCATCACATTTTTGTTGTTGCTTGTTGCTGTTGTTTTATTGTTGTTGTTGCTGATTTTGCTGAGATAGCATATCTTTATTCAGCCTGGTTAGCCCTTAACTCAAAAATCCTCTCAAATTTGAAATCCTTTTTTCTTATCTTCCCTAGTACTGGGATTATGGGCATGAGCCACCATGCTGAAATTCATGCCTTTGTTCTTGAGATGAGATTAAAGGGTGACAAAGAGATACATTTTCCATTAAATTACTCCCATAATCCATTAGCATTGTGGGGATAAGAATATTCACATGGTTCTCTAATTGTCCTTATGAACTGAGGATCCAATCTAATCTCTAAAATTCACCTCAGATTCTACACCCAGATTCCATCTGGGAAATTCAGAAAGAGTCAAACATCTTAAAGCTGAAAAGCATTCATTTACATATCTATCCACAGAAGTGAGAGGCAGAACAGGTAACAGAGAATTAGTGACAGAGAATTCGTCAGATGGTCCTGGACAGTCAGAAAGCTGTGTAACTATTTCACTAAATGGGCTTTCAAAACTAATTGCTGATAGTTAATTAACTTAAAATACACCCCATGCTATTACCATCACTCATTTTCCTTGGACAATTTCATAGCCAACACCTCACTGAAAAAAAAAGAGTATATTCTCAATAGTATGTGAATAGATAACTGTTACAAATAATGCTTGCTTCTTTTGCTCTATTTGTTTTATTGAGACAATCTTACATTGAGTCTACATAGTATCTCCCCAAGCAGCTCAAACTAGCCTTGAATTCTCTAATAGCTTAGGCTGGCCTTGAGCTAGTGATCCACCTGTCTCTGCCTCCAAAATGCTGGGCTTAGAGGAATGTACCACCATATCCAGCTGCAAACAGTATGTTCTACAGGGTTTCTTCTTCTCCTAAATCATTTAAGTTCTGTATTTTATATTTGTTTGGATTTGAATATAAAATGCTCATCCACAGGCTCTTGAGTTGAAGACTTGTATCAGAGTTGGCACTATTTTGAGAAGTGGCAGAAATGTTGGGAAGTAGGGTCTGGTTGGAGGAAGTAGGTCACTGAAAGCAGGTCCTTTCAGGATATATCTTGTTCCTAGTCCATCCCTGTTGCCTCTTTGCTTGCTGGCCACTCTGAAGTGAACATTTTCCCTCTACTATACCCTTCCACTATGATATTGTGCCTTGGCGTGGGTCTTATACAATGAGTCAGTCTACCATGAACTGAAACATCTGAATCCATAATCCAATATCAATCTTGTCACAATATCAATCTTTGTCACAGTGGTAAAAAGTCTAACTTTCACTGAAATTTTATAGCAATGAAGGAAATAGCACCAAATTTTATTTTATTTGTCCGTCAGAGGCTTGAACTCTAGGCCTGGGCACTGTTCCTCAGCTCTTCAGCTCAAGGCAAGTGCTACTTCTGGTTTTCTACTGGTTTATTGGAGATAAGAGTCTCACAGACTTTTCCTGCCCAAGCTGGCTTTGAACCGTGATCCTAAGATCTTAGCCTCCTAAGGAGCTAGGATTACAGGCATGAGCCACCAGAACCTGGCAGCACCAAATTTTATTTTTCTAGCAACTAAAACTCAGTTTTGGAGAAATCAAGGATTACAAAGGATCATTTCTTTGAAGATTAGAGTTTCTTCCTTAAATCTTTGTTAGAATTATTTCAAGAAATGAAAGCTACTTCTATCTCCAGGTTAAAATATGTAGAAATATTATATTGCACTAAGCAGCAAGTAACTCAAGCCTGTAATCCTAGCTACTCAGGAGGCTAAGAGCTAAGGATTGTGGTTTGAAGCCAGCCTGGGCAGTAAAGTCCATGAGACTCTTATCTCCAATAAACTATGCAGAAAAGCCAGAAGTGGTGCTGTGGCATTAGCCTTGAGCACAAAGAGGCTCAGGGACTGCACCCAAGCCCAGAGTTTGAGCCTCAGGACTAGGGGGGGACTCTATATTAGCAAGCTTCAATTATAACAAGAAACACTAATGAATTCAGATTCTTTCGATCAGACTCTTCTGACAACACAGAGCAAACATAGAAGAATACTTTCCCTGTGTCCAGAACTACTTCATCCCAATATACCAACCAACCAACCAATAGAAATGGGTCCAAGATGGTATCTTTGTATCTCAGATCAATTCTTTTCACCTTAACTTACTGAATCAAGCATGGATAACCATTTATATTGCATCCGTTTATTTCTCTTTAGCCAAACATAATGGCTACCTAGATATGAATACTAAAAATATCTATTTCCATTTTCTTCACTGACCAAGGTTCTATTAATAAGGAAGAAAAGGAAAATGGCTTTTGAATCATTGCAAGTAGCAGAATTTATCCATGTTGGTTAATCTTGATTGTCAACTCGATTGAATTGAGACACACTAGATTAGTAAAGCACATTTCTGGGTGTGGCTATGAGTGAATTGCCAGACTTAATTAACAAAGGAGAGGATTCATGCTTAATGAGTGACATCATCCAGTAGGCTGGAAGTGTGTCCTTAGGTGTTACAACTTGTCTCAGGCTCTTCTCTGACTCTTCTCTCTGCTCCTGGTTGCCATAAAGTGAGCAGCCTGCTCCTTCATGCCAATCTGCCCTGATGATCTGTCTCGCTGTGGTCAAGAAACAAGGAAGCTATCCAACCTTGGGCTAAAACTTCTGAAACTATGACCCTAAATAAACCTCTTCTCAGGCTGGGATGTAGCTCAGTGGCAAAGCATTTGCCTAGCAAGTGCAACATCCTGGCTTTGATCCCTAGTACTAAAAAAGAAAAGACAAAAAAAAAAAAAAAAACCATTAAAAAAATAAAATAAAATAAAATAAACCTCTTCTCTTTTTTAAGTTGTTTCTCTCAGATATTCTGTCACAGAAATGAAAACTTATACACCATCTTTTCAGTTACACCAATGTACATATATGCTAATTCCTGTCCATAAAGTAAGTCTTATCCACTAACTGCATATAAGATCAAACTGGGCATGTAATCCTCTCTATTGAGTTCAGTGTATTTGGGGAGGGGAAGAGATATAACAAAATGTTTAAATAAGGATACAGGTTGACCCATTGTAATAGTGAATGTACAAGACACTATGTTGAAAATAAACTTTACAATATGGAGGGGGGGAGAAGTTGGGGAGGTAGGGAGGGAAGGGATGGTAGGGGAAAAACAAAGGAGGAGGTAACTGCTCGCTAGAAAATGTACTCATTACCCTACTCATGTAACTGTAACCCCTCTGTACAGTATTTTTCCAATAAAAATATATATGAAAAAATAAAGCTATTGCCTCTATTAGATCAAATATAAAGTAGTAATAAAGGAATTAAGAAAACTAGAAAATAAAAACTGTTTAAGAATTTGGAGAGTGGAGAGAGAGGAACTATGCAGGCATGATGCATAGTTTATTAATCCCCAGCAGTGATGAAATTCTACGAGGGAGGGGGAGATGGAGGGAGCAGGGAGACAGCACACCCATGAGCCATGACAACATTGTGGTGATGGGCATGCTCATTGCTGACCCAGATGGCAGCCCTTGGCTGTAGTCTCTGGGCTACTTTGGCTTATCCAATGCCTCCTCCTCCGACACTGTTACTCCTGG